ACAATGGATTATCAGAATAGCGGTGCAAGGTTAAATCGTTGTCGGAAAGTACAATGGATTATCAGAATAGCGGTGCAAGGTTAAATCGTTGTCGGAAAGTGGCAATGGATTATCAGAATAGCGGTGCAAGGTTAAATCATTGTCGGAAAGTGGCAATGGATTATCAGAATAGCGGTGTAAGGTTAAATCATTGTCGGAAAGTGGCAATGGATTATCAGAATAGCGGTGCAAGGTCGAACTACTGTGTCACTAGAAGTTCAAATTCTGGCCAACAAGAAGCATAGCAAACAGAAATGTATAATAAAACTAATTACAAATAAGAAATACAAATAGAATCCCTCTAAATGAAAAAAAAAGCCAATATTTTGATTAAACAACTTTCACTTGAATGTCTAAATAGATCAAGACTGGTTGAGCTTACATAAGCAAACGTGGTGTGTATGTAAATTCATAAATCTAGTGTTGGAGGTAATATTTTAAACCTTTGCATTTAACATAAAACTATCCGTCTATAACGTCATTTTCATGATATTAAAAATTCATTAATGATTATAGTTGTTGATTGTTAATTCTTTTCTCGGGTGCTTTACCCTAGAATTTAAAGATTCTTGTATTTTCTCAATAACCTCAACTTTAGATCGTATTTTTCTTCTCATTGGTTTGTTTCGCCATAGCAACTCAGAAATTGACCTTCTAGAGTTGTTGACCAGACTTTCTTAAGGGATTACAGATTGGTTATTTTGTAATAACATTGACGCCATTGGTGCGCGTTAGGAGAGTATCGTCCTAGTGATTGTAAAGAATAACGTGTAAGCTATTGTCTGGAAACGAAACTATACAACTTGTATGCTGTCTGTTTTGTTCGAACAAACAAACAGAGATTGTTTATGTTTTCTGTGAACTTCAAAGTTTGTCCAACACTTCCACATTGTCCAGTCACATGAAGATTACCATTTTCTCTCTCTTAATCAAATACGCTGTCAATCAAATCCTGCTATCTTCTTTTTGTGGAGCTAACTTGCAAGCGTGTATATCGCTAAATAAATTTACCACTATGCTTCAAAGAATAACGTTGAACTGAAAGAAAATCAACTCTCATGTAAAGTGTTTGAGTTCTGTTTGAAGGTATTTTAATTTTCCACGAGTTTTGGTACTATATCAAATTATATTTTAGCTGGATTTCCACATATCTGAGAGAGCCTTGCACGGGTTATCATTGCAAAGAAATTCATCAGGCGTCTTTTTTAATATCTCTTTTATTTATGACAAATACGTAATAACTAAACAGAAAATTTAGGTTTATTTAAAAGAAAGAGGAAGGATTAACTGCCATATAACCAATTTTTGTAACATGGTTAACAATATCATCCGGTTTCAGTTTTGATTCAAAAAGGGATTATCATACGTTAACATTTTCAAAATTTCCTGAGGGTTATCCTGCTGCCTATTTCCTGAGAAACTTAAACTGAGAACTTTCATAATTCCCTGAAAGATATTTGTAATGTTATTTCTATGAAGTTTCAAATTTCTGAATTCAATGCTGTCTTGTCGTATCTTATTGACAAGTTTCAAATTTTTATGAATGCTTTCTGTTGTATCTTTAATAAGATGTTTCCATGTTTTTTTGAAAGCTGTCCTGCCATATCCCTTGTGAGAAGTTTCAAAGCTCCTCTAGACAAAACTTGTCGCATCTTTTCAATGAAGTTTCAAAATTCAAAATCCAGAGAGTTCTATCTACCGTGAAGTTTCAGAATTCTGTGAGTGTTATCCTGTCTTATATTCGCTGTTAAGTTTCAGACTTTAAAGTTTTTTAAACACAGCTTTTTACTTTACCATCAAGACTATGGAAATTATCCCCAACTTTTATTACAGGTTATCTTGTATAGTACGATATTTCCTAGGTGTTTCATTTATTTCAGACAAGGCACTATAACCAATCCATTTGTTAGATGATGTAGAGGAAGAAAAATTATATTTTACAGTCATACTGTTTGAGTGTTTTATAGTGTATCAACTTATGTTTTATAAAAAATGCATATTTTGGTTCTAAAGACATTTTATTTTATCTTTTCGAACGAAAAAAATACAAGCTATTCATGTTATCTTTTCTGTGGCCGGAAATAAAGTCATAGAAAAAAAATTCACAATTTTGGCTAGGAAAAAAAAGTCAAAATTTTTTAAAAACCCAAATACAATGTAAAGTAATATAACAAAAAACGTTTTTAAGTTAGATATTTATTGCAATAATAGCATAGGGCATGATACGCAACATCATATGAAACGTATATGACATACACATATTAATAACACAACTTACATAACTGTTGTACAAGGAGATATATATGAAAAAGTAAATGAGGCACAAGACTACTCGCTTGGCTTACCACTACCCGAAGAACACGGCTTTACATCTGATCTGAGGAACGTGGTGCCTAACCTGACCTCACATAAGATCAGTTTGGATTATAATCCT